GCTCTCCAGGTTGAACTCATTTCTTGTGAAACGGGAGAGCAGGTTACTCTTCCCCACTCCAGAGTCTCCGATCAGCACGACTGCAACCAAAACCAAAACATTACTGCAGAACGGCAAACACTGGTAGTGACAGACAGTTATGGTACTTAACAAACGTCATTAAAGAACGCACTATAGTCAGGTTCATCATTCACTCACGGCCGGTGTCAGGCTAAGTGAAAGCGCTGACTTGTTTTCTTGTTTCTGTACAGTGAGAGCCTTATCGGACTTTGGCCTGCTGGGAGTCATGCAGGAAAAAGCTGACAAAAAAAACTGCTCTCTGGGAAATCTGACTCGACAGTTTCTCAAGGCCTCTGTTCCTGTCTATTGTTACGAGTCATCAGTATTTCCAATCAATTTCCAGCGGACAAACCAGACCTGGGCCTCGTTTTCTACTGTACTTCAATACAATATTTACTAGAAAGGTGTGATGAAGCACGTTTCCATTTCCTCTTCAGTTCACTCCCTAGTCATTCAAATCCCTGCATCCAAACTTCAGTCAACGATATGACACTTTTAAATGCTTAATCTCACTAAAGCTTGAATGCAGATCAGTCTCTGGCCTTACAAAAAGCATGTGACTGGTCCATCTGACGGTTAGTAACAAGCTGAAAGCAATAGTTTCTCATCTTTTGACATCCTACACATACTAACAGTCTAACTTAATTAAAGCGCCATCATGTGATTCAGGTTGCAGCGGAGGGCGTCACCATAACAACACAATAATAAGCAGACTCCTATTCAGAAAAATGCCACTTTGATTAAGACTGCGCGGTCAGCGACATTATCAGGAAACTGAACCCTGAGGTGTAAACAGACCATGTGACCAGTGACTCAGTGGTCCAGTCAGGTCAAATCTATCTATAAATCTATGCTTGCTTGGTGTGGAAATATAAATATGCCTAATATAATATAAATAGGTTGAGGTTAGGGGGGTACGAGTGTACCTGGAGCGGTTGCCGAACATTAAAGTAAACCATTGCAGTGTTTCCTCTGCGCTGGTTTCATAGTGGAGTGCAGCTGTATGTAAGTGTACCACAAAGGGACCGCTTGTTTCCTTTTCCATTCAGTTTGGATCTGTTTCCATTAGACAGACTGCTCATCAGGGGATAGTTGCGTTTTAACGTGTGGTTTTGGGGCAAGAACAACTTCTCTTCAATAACAATAAAGTTTTATTGTAAACGCAATCGCTCCACCCGTTAGACCCGCTACTAGCCTGCAGGGCTAACTCACCATACGCCCCACTTTATTGTCTTCTCTTTTTATGAAATACATATAGCAAAACAAGCGATTTATAGCAAACAAACGCGAATAGAAGCGGCAACACCTCTCAAGTAAAAGTAAACGTGAGGTTATTTAGAAAAGATGAGTGTGAAAACACGCCAAAGACAGCAGTCTGATAATGGTAGCAACCGCTAGCTGCCATCACCAGCTGGTGTTAACCACTGACGGTACCGAGGCTAGCAGGCATGCTAACCTACAGTTAGGCACCAGCGTTGTGAAGAAGCAGCAGGTTGAGCTCACCTTTGAACAAGAAGTCATACTCGTCGTCTCTGTTCCCCATTGTTCGCTACTGTCACCTTTCTGAGACTGCGGTGATGACAGAAGAGACTCTCCCCGCCCGGACCAGGCTGCTGCTGTGCCAGGACGACAGAAGACACTGCGCACACCGACACTGCGCAGGAAGAGCGGAGCCGCTGCCAACGCCGACACGTGACCCATGTATGTGCTGTATGTAGCTTCAGGTGATCGATCAAACCCCGTTATCATACCTTCATGGTTGTATAAAGTGAGACACTGAGGGCTAGGGTAATGTTTAATGTATCTATCTATCACAATAGATAGAGTTCTTTCTTTTATATCATTCTATACAACTTTACCGAGAGCCTCCAACACAATATGTATCAACCCTATAAACTAATAACCAATAGGTCCTAACTGTTATGTAATTGTATAACTGATAATAAACTACAGGTTCCAGGGCCAATGATGGACTTTCATGCTTAACTTTTAAACCAACGCAGAAGAGAAATCCTAAAACTGCTTTGGATGAAATCATATAAGAGTTTGTCAACAAATCCGTCTCCATGACAACCGAGCAAACCACATCAAATAATAAAGCCATGTGATAGAAAGAGACAGAAAACAGCAACCAGGTGGACCTTGTGTCAGGATTTTTTTTTTTTTTTTTTTGGTCGAACTTTATTTCTATTGTCTTATAGTTTATAGTTTATTTTCCAATAAAACATGTCATGGCTGAGAGTCAGTAAAGTAAACAAGGTAAATAAAGTAAACACAGTTGAGCTCACTACATGGCCCACTCTCTCAGTTTCTCTCCAGGCACTTCCAATGATGCTTATGTTTCTTGCATTACTTTGTTTTAAATGTTTACCTGTCTCTGTCAGAGCTAAGGCTGATGGTTAAACATAGACAGATAGACAATAACATCAGGGTTCACTGTGCAGTAGAAGTCTGTGTCAGTGATGCTAGAATTAAAAATATCCCTAAAAGAAAGCTAGACATTTTACTGAAGAGATTTCTACATGATCTCTAATGCAACTTGTTCTATCTTACACTTTGAATTGTTTTGTTCTCACACATTTAGACAGATTGGATGCTCCGCACAAGAACATATCGTTTGTTCTCCACAATCTATTGAAAGTAAACTGATGCATAGACACTGATATATTTACTAGTACACAGACTACTGTTTGTATTTAGGCAACCAAAGAAAATGGAATTGGAATGATGAAACCAGAAACAATGTATATCCTCATTGATATAAATGGGCTGGAAAAGTATTACAAACACCTCTCAGTCAGTGCCGGCCCGTGGCATAGGCAGTATAGACAAATGCTAAGGGTGCCGTCCATCTAGGGGGCGCCACAATGGGGGGAAAATAAATAAATATATATACTCCCACCTTATATTTCTCAGGGACATTTGTAAAGATTAGATCTATTCAGCAGGTG